GCAGACAACACCGTGCCGAGGGTTGTGATCCCCTTACCGGTCAGAAAAAAGAAAAAAAAAAAAGAAATGTTTATTCAGATCCTTTACTTATTTTTGAATTGGGTTTTTTCTTTTTATTACTGTTTCATTGTAGTTCTTTATATATTCTGTATATTAACCCTTTATCCATATAGATGTTGCAAAGATTTTCTCCCACTCCATGGGTTGTCTGATAGTATTCTTTGATGCACAAATGCTTTTAATTTTGTCGACATCCAATTTATCTATTTTTTTCTTTTGTGGCTTATGCTTTTGATGTCACATCCAAGAAATCATTGCCAAACCCAATATCATGACGATTTTCCCCTGTGTGCCAGCCTTCAAAGATCAAAAGCAGCAATCAGTCAACAGAGCCCACAACACTCATTTCTAGAAAACAAGGTCTTTATTGACCACCCTGGCTCCAGCAAGCTACACCAGGGACCTGAGCTGCTGTCTCCACAGCTTCCTGCCCTGATGGAAAATGTGACAACTAAGTGAAAGAGGAAGATTACCAGCCTCTTCACCAAGCTCTCTGCTGGTGCTGCAAGTGTTCTGCTGGGCCCAGAGTTCCAGAATAGTTGCTTCAGACAACCTCTGCCAGTTCAGTTGTTTTGACGGAGGGCTGGATTCCTGAAGCTTCCTACTCTGCTATTTTTCTTTATTTCAGATTAGGTAACTAGTTTTATGGGTAGAATAAAACACTGGAAGTTTTGCTCCTAATATAAGCTGTCCCTTTCAAGACAGCTCACATTGGCAGGCTGCACACTAATTCCATTGACGGTGCCATTTCACAGATAGGTCCTTATGCTCCAATTCCCTTCTCTGCAGCAACTGAGCTCTGGGCACCTTCATTCCTGCAACTTCTGAGCTGCCTTCACTCTGCCTAAGTCAGAGGCCACTTTCCTCCCACCCAGGGGCCAGCATGGGGGACGCTGCCCACTGGTGGCAGCTTAGAGCAGATCAATGACAAGAAAGCATATTTCTTCTTTCTGGAGGTAAGGAGGGGAAAAAAAACCCCAGTTCATTTTCAGAACTGAATCAGGAAACTTTCTACTGCCTGCAGCTAGAGTACACTTTTTCTTTTCTTTTTTTTTTCCTTTTTGTCTTTTTTTGTGTCCGGCAACGGATC